CATGATGACTTCAAGTCTAAGAACCAGTTATACCCATCTCATATGAGATTCCCATAGACTAAAACCAAATGGGTTCTTATGAGGAGTCAAGTTTAGTGATATGTTCTATAACATAAATCACCTAAGTGTTTGCTTTGGCATCACCATGCCAATAGATGTGAGATCTCCTACTGTTATCATATAGCATAAGCATAGCACTCACAAGTCTATCCATATTTTGTCAATGTTCATTCTCGATAATGCTATGACTTGGGACATTTAATGACATCATTTATGTGCATTAGTGTTTGTCTCACATCTTTCGATCAATCATTATTGCAAATGCATATCATAAGGACTTCTATCTAGAATAGTTTTAGCCCAATAGGTTTAATTAAAAGCCTTAAGATATTTTGGTGGAAGGATAAATATCAACCTTATTGGATAAAGATGAATGTTTTAAAGATAAAGTTCAAGAAGCCCACATGTAAAATAACTTTTAATCCTTAGAGGATTAGAAAGCAATAACCTAGAGTCATTAAATGATTGATTATTGCCCCTTTTTGTCCTTGGAAGATAAGGAATTCTCTCCTATAAATATATGGGGGAGAGAGGTACGACAAGAAGAAGAAAAATGCAAGGAAGAAAAATCTCTATAGGGTATACGAAAAAAGAAAATAAAAAGAGAAAATAATTTTTTTCTATAAACGATAATACATGCCACTTTTTCTCTTCCTTTAGGTTTTCACAAACTTGCTCAAATTACATTTCTATTGGAAACACCACACAAATAAAAAAAGGTAGAGCTACCACTATACCAATTTTGAGCGCTTCTTTGTGGGTGCTTGGACTGTGTGGATTATTAATAGAGGGCGTACACTTAGATGACTTTTCCGTTAAAGAATTTAGATCTATGCTATAAGATGTAATTCTCCATTCATTGCTATAATTCAAGTATATATAGTTAGGTCATTCAAGGCATGATCTTGGGCCCTTCGGATGGAAATTTTTTTTGTTTATTCTGCACCTCCATAGGATGTATGATCCTTCAATGTTCTCCAATATTATTCACCTAAGTTCTTACTTTGGCATCACCATGCCAATAGTATAAGATCTCCTATTGATATCTTATGACATGAGCATAATACTCACAAGTCTTACCGCATATAGTCAATGTCCATTTTTGACAATGCTATGACTTAGGATATTTAATAATATCATTTAAATGAAAAAATGTTTATCTCACATCAATTAACAAATCATTAATGTAATGCATATCATATAGACTTTTATATAATTTTATCAAATTGTAAACAATAAAAATTAATAGAAAGACTTCTTTTATCAATAAATAAAAATACAATATTACAATAAGTCAAACCATTCAAACTAGGTTGGATCTTGGGCACCTACACTAAAAATATCCCACTTATGCTAAAGACAACTAGCCATGTCCTTTATGCCCGATGATCGAACAAGGGTTTCATATTTCAATTGTGACAAAGGCTTAGTCAAGGGATCAACTATGTTGTTGTTAATGTGGACTTTTTCTATCTTTATATCACCATGACTCGATAATTTCTCTAATTTGGTGGTAGCATTACGAGTATATGCTTAGACTCGTTGATGAGACCTTAGTTCCTTAGCTTGCACTATGAATCCTATATTATTGACCATCAAGCTATATGACATTGGAAGAAGTCCGCTTTTTGACTCTTCCATACTAAGCCTTTTTAGTATCATATCGTTGTACTTACCTTGGGAAAAGCCCTAAAGTTCTATATGATCTATTTCTATAAATCTTGATTCCTAAAATGCATGTTATCCTCCCATGTCTTATATTAAGAAATTCTTAAAAACCTAATCTTTTATAGATTGCACCATGATAATATTATATCCAAGAAGTTATTTGTTATCTTCATATAGAATAATAAAAACTACTAATCTCTTGCTAACCTTTTGTATACATAAGGTTCATCTTTGTTTTGTGAGAATTCAAATCCTTTAATTATTTTGTCAAAACGTCGATAACAATTCCTAGAGGTATGCTCAAGTCCATAAATGAACCTTTATAATCTATAAATCTTATTTACATTTTTTTTTTTATGATAGAACCATTAGGGTATGTCATCTACATGTTTTTCATTCAATTTTCCATTGAAAATTTTTTTTTCATTCATTTGCCATATCTAGGAGTCAATGTCTAACATTTTCATTTCATAGGTATTAACTTTATTCCAACAAAGCGAGTAAGTTTTACAACCTTTTCCTTTAAAATCATTACCTCCTTCGTTGACTTTGCTCAAACAGAGCCCTTTTTTTCATTTTTCATCATTTTTCTAGCTCTAGTATGTGAATGTGCAAGGGAAGTGTAGTTTTGATAGGTCGACCTATGTTTCGCTTAGACAAAAGACAACAAGTACAAGATAACAATATATTAAAAATAAAATGATACTTGGGACTAAATATGGAATAGGTCGTCATGTGGGGATGATCGGAGGATCCAATCATTGATTCTTTGACATTATCCCAAATTGGTTTAAAGATGAAATAAGGTTTTATCAATAACCTTTGACATATACTTATCAAGCTTTAAAACTTCTTTGGTATTCGGACATTGCGAAACTCGGACTTAAATCCTCTTATCACTAATCCTAAAACATCGTGACCCAACTACTCGATCAAGGTTTCGATACATTTGACTTACCTAATGACATTTACCGGGTAAGATCCTAGGGTTTTGTTCTAAGTCAATACATGAACGGGATATGATCTATATAAGTCTCAAAAAGGTCCCTTTAGCTTGACAAATCATAATAGAATCGTTGGGTTTGCTAAAGGAGATGATTGGTAAACGTAAAAAATCATTGGTTACCCATCACTCATTAGGGAAAAGCAAGACGAGTTGAGATTTCGTGAGTGTTACTTGGGGTGAAACCCGTCGGAGCACCACTACTACCTCCTTAAGTCCTAAGGTAAGTGTGTGATAAAAAAGAAAAAGTAATTGTGAATGTAATGTGTGTATAGGCATTACACAATATCCGAGTCTCAAACATAAAAATAAAGACACGAAAAGAAATGAATAAATAAATAAGCAAAAATAAAAATATAAGGTAAACAATGACGGAAAGGCATGCATTTATACAAGGAAAACAAGTTACATAAATCAGCATACGGACATAAAAATTCATCACATTGTCGAAATCAAATTCAAAAATTATATGCAAAGCCTAACCCTAAGTATATCCTTAGTGGAGTTGTCATTCTATCGCGAGCCGACGTCGAGGGCAAAGGCAACATGTTTAGGCAAAAATTGACAAAATAGGCAAAAATAACTAGAGTCGCCAACTAGTATTATGGTTACTAGAAAAACTTATGATCGGTCTATTCAAAGCTATAGGTAAGGGGTTTATTACATGTATGAAAGATTAATAATCATCCTACCCTATCTTGCCTAAGGCACACTACATTGTATACAAAACTAACTTGATTTTTTATTTTTATGATGAAAGACTACACCTATTTTTCAAGCATTTGCCCATTGATCGAATAATTTGGGACTTGGTCAATCAAAAACCCTATTCTCATTCCGTAATGCTTGGTTAAGAAATGATGGATACAAAGATATGTTGCTAATGCGACTTAAACTATAATCATGAAAACAAAATTTAAAAATGGGAAAATAGGCAACCAAACAAGATAAATAAGTTGGCAAAATAGGCAAACAGGCAAAAATATACAAATAAGTAATTAGGTAAAATAAGTAAAAATTGACAAATAGAGCTAATAGCCAAAATCGATAAATTGACAAATAAGCAAACTAGCAAATAAGGAAAATAAGTAAAATCTTCAAATTAACAAATAGGAAGAATAAGCAAAAGTGGTAAAATCAACAAGTTGGCAAAAATTGACTAGTTGGCAAAAATCAACAAGAATAGACAATTAGGCAAAAATCGACAAGTTGGAAAAAATTAACAAAAATTGATAAGTTTGCAAAAATCGACAAGAATCGACAATTAGGCGAAATCAACAAGTTAGCGAAAATCAATAAAAATCGATAATTAGGCAAAAATCGACAAGTTGGTAAAAATCAACAAAAATCGACAATTGGACAAAAATCACAATAACGATCCAAAAATGAAACTTGAGCTAACGCAACTCGAAAGTCACATTCTAGATGCATTGGCAACAATGTTGAATTTTATCGTTATTTAACAAAAATGATCAAACAACGGGATTCAAAATCGTATTTTTTTAATAAAATTAGCACATGAAAAATTTAATTAATTTATCGTCAGCAAAAATAACATGAACATATGGTTTGCATGAGCAATAACAAATATTTATAAAGTAAGCACATCAATCAAACCATACAAGTACAACGATAATATAATTAATTAATTTACAAGTATATCATAACAATTTCATTAATTTATAAACACATCAAAACGAATTAATTTACGAGCACAACCTCAAAAAATTAAATTTAATACATACATTAATAAATAAAAATAAAAATAAAAGGTAAAAATGAAGTATTTTAAAAATACATGATGAATTTGATCGTTCAATTTGGAATCGGTTTCAACACTTTCAACCCCGATAGAGAACGATTATCTAGTCAATCGGAGAGGAACGACGATTGCTCATTGTAGATTTGGATTTCGTGTGAGGCAAAATGATGGTTAGTGAGCGGATCTAGGTTGGACGGTGAGCGGTGGTCGCCGTCGAAGTAGAGCTACGAGCACACACATAGGGCCGGCACGCCGGTTGACTCGTGCTTATTGGCTAGCTATGGGTGTTGGGCTAGCTACGTGTAGAGGGTTTGCTACTCGTCGCTGCGCGTGCTTGCTACGAGCGAGAGAGGCATAATAACATGTTAGACATGCCGCGCCGAGCAAGTTATGCATGTGGGAGGCGTTAGGCAAGGTGTGTGGTGCACTATGCGAGGCATGTGTCGTGCGCCGGCTATGTGCAAGGGAGGCGCGAGCGTGTTGGTTATTGCGGTGCTAGTGGGCTACCGCTACGGATGTGCATGCAAGGCCGAACGTGTCGGCGTGCTTATTGCGCCCCGGCTCATCTAACCTAGTATAGGCTACCCAACGCGTAGGTGTCCTTAGCCTGCGTGGGCTGGAGCTACGGGAGTATGTGTGTAGCTGGGCAAGCCTATTACGAGATGGAGCTACGGGCGTGCATATATGGCTAAACGTTAGGGTCATTACTGCTACTCGCGAATAGCTTGGAGGGGTTGTTGGATGTGGGCCGGAGGCTTGTGAGCGCCGTTGCATACTAACTGGGCAAGGCGGATGGCTAATTACAAGCATGTAGGGCGAGAGAAGGTCGCGTAAGGGATGGTCGTGGCATATGGGCGAGAGAAGGTTGTGTGAGGGATGGCTATGGAGTACGTGTAGGTAGTGGAAATGGTTTTTGTGAGTGTTGTCTCGCTAGGTTTTTTGTAGAGATAGTGAATAGTAGCCAACCCTAATTTTAGAGCAAAGGGTGTTTTTATACTGGTCCTTTAGGGTTTTTTGGCTAAAATTTGATTTGGTCCCTCATTTCGTAAACTCATTTTATTTTGATCATTTTTTCCTTTTCCCTTTTAATTGCATCCGTAATTGTTTTTTTTACTCCCTTTTTTTTTCTTTTTTGGAAAAATTTGGGTGCTAACAACAATAAAAGGAAAAAATCCCACATGGTTGTATGTGTCACAACCAAGCATGATACAAAAGAAAAGAAAACCATACGAGCAATAGGAATTGTATTTGATTTGTAGTGAAAAGTCACACACCCCTGTCTTACAAGTAAAACTAGTCTATATGAACGGAATAGATTCAACTCGACTTGAAGGTAAAAGTCTACACAAGGAGTAAAGAAGTAACAAAAATGAAGAACAAAGGCATACGGTCGTGTGTTTCTAATGAGAAAAACATATAATACTAATTCCTTAAGGCTCCAAACTCGTGTAGCATTAAACAAAAAATCATGTAACTTTATTATATAACCGATTGGCTATATGGGGTTGACACCTATATGATGTAACCCTAATTTGGGCTATAAATAATAAAGCTAGAGCATTATTTTGGGATTTCAACTTTTAATAGCCACCATTGATAAAAAAAAAAAAAACTCTCTCTTTGTAACTCATTATGAGCAACTAAACTCTATTCGTAGTTGAATCAAGTTGAAACTTTTGGTTAATTACGGTTAGATTGCGGGTTTTATTTCTAAACTTATCTTAGTTAGATATTTTATGTTTTTCCGTATGATTGGTTTATAGTTGTATGATTAAATTGATTAGTGTGAATGCTAGTTGTTTCATCATAGTAACTTATTGCTATCTAAGTTTTCAAGTCCGTATAATTATTTCTCTAACCTTGCCTAAGAGAGTAGCTAAGGATTAATGATTATCTTTTATGTTTTCATTCAATCTCTTGAAAAACATAAAACTAGGTTACATCTTTTCTAACACTTAGGAAGGTGGCTTAGCTTTACTTGTCTTTATCTTGTTAATGTTGTTATTAGATTAAATCTATCCGTGTTTAGTAGGTTGTTTAGTAACTAGGATTTTAATCGGATATTTTATATTCGGTTAATGACTAAGTAAGAAAAGACTAGGGACAACATACATGTTGTTGTCTTACGATGAATATTCATGTTTAGGATAAGTTAATTATCTAATCTATGATTAGCAATCAAACTAAAAATGGATAATAAAGTTCAATGAAGAGTCACTTAATATTGTTATTTCAATTTACTTTATTTGTTTTGAAGCACCCCAAACATGAAACTCTCCATTTACACTAGAAGAATACTCCACTAGAAGAAATAGTCAATTTAGTCTCTTTTCCTCTAGGTTCAACACTTATTTTCCTTGATTATTTATCATGATTGTAAGCTCTATAAGTAAAAGTATAAATTACTAATTCGTCGACACTAAGACACACCATCACTAGTCATGATAATAATTTATTCTAGTGATAAGAAAAATAATATCTATTTATTTTTATAGGATATCTCATAACTTTATACTTTGTTGATTTAGGCTCTTGCTTATCACCATCCAAATGTTTGTGTAATAACTTAAAAAAAAAGGGGTAGGTATAAAAAGTGGCAGTAGCTATCCTATTTTTTTAGAATTTTTCTCTTCTTCTCCTCTCCCTCTCTCACTCATTCTTCTCTTAAAACTCCCAATTTTCACTTTACCTCCTATGCTAATTCCTTGTGAAGTTATCTTAGGAAAACCTTCAACAAGAAGATTTAAGTAGAGCTTAGCTAGCTTGAAGCTTAGAAAGCTTGGAGAACTATGAAAAACCTCGCTAGTAGAAGGGCATAATGTCAAACGTAAGATTTGTTATCCATTTATCTTGGAATTGTGAATTTTATATGTGATTAATGATGATATTGAAATGCAAATACTTTAGGTTATTGATTGCTTGGAGAATTGACTAGATTAAGGTTACGATTTTGAGATCTATTTAGGAAAAAATTGATTAAGGGATTCTAAGTGTTTGAATGATGTTTAATTATCTTGAGTAAGTAGTTTATGAAGTTAATTTGAAGTGAAATTAAGTGAATTTGAGTAATTGAGAGGTTGAAGATGATGAATAGTGAAAAATCCAAAATTTTAATTTTAATTGAAAAGAATTTAGAAAAATTAAGGAATTAAGCTACGTAAATACAATTAATGATTAATGAATGATCTTTGAATAAATTAGGATATAATTAATTATTAAATTGAAATTTGATTGTTAAAGGATTGATTGACTAAAGGTTTGAGTTGGAAATTTATAACCGATAGTTGAATTAAGAATTGATGGTGTAATTTAGTTAAACAATTATTTAGAATTGTTGGAGAGATCATAGAGTCTAGTTAAGGTTATCGGTTCGAATCCTTTCAATCAATTCTATTTTATCGATCATATTGTATTCTTTTTTCTAGAATACTTCATTATTTTGAGTTATTCTTTGATATATGGTATTGATTGATGTTCCATCATCTTGTGATGCTAGATTTTTACAAATAGAAGACTCCACCTCAACAACCTTGATTCTGTTTGGTTATTTGAATTATACTATGAGTGGATATTATATAACGCACTATGTTTTACATTCCTTTGATTGTATCCATCATGCGTCATTGATTTAAGTATTATTTAAAAGCATTTCCTTAGAACTTAGATGGGAATATATTTCCTAAACATTGAAATAATTTCGTATCAAAATGATTTGACATGAATTGAAAAGGGGATTAAATATGTGTTTGAAAAATTATGTTATTGGATTTGGACATAGATGTGTTATAATCATTATTTTGATTATCCGTATAATTTTTGAAAATGCATACATGGTATTTAAAATTCTAGTTTTAAAAATGTCTAAGTATGTTTGGCTTTCGAAAATATTGTTGAGACCTTAGGGAACCTAGCTAAGGGGCATAGCCTTTGAGCTCAATGATATGAGGCTCCAACTAGTAGGAGAGGTAGAGTACTAGCTTGTACATTGACCAATATATAGAAACCAAGTCACGAGGGGTGTGACCTTTGAGTGTTATCACCTAAGGATACGTTATTTACCCCGTGAGGGGTCTAAAAAACCTATATATATGATTTTATAAGATTATGATATATGTATGTATAAATCTTTTGAAGACTTGATTCAAAATGGTTTTGAACGATCTAAATTGTAATGTATGATGTGGTTTACATTATGTATATATTTTGAAGAAACAAGCAAGAACCTATGTTTGTTTTAAATATACTCTTAGAAGCTTTGCGAGTTATAAGTCTGTGAGTAATGTAGTAGGAATTGATTATGAATATAGAATTATGAATTCTATTGAGGTTGTAAGAAACGCCGATTGAGTTGGATTAATGTTAATTGAAATGATATTTAAAGTAAAGTGATGCTGATAATTGAGGATTGTAGTATAAGTCTAATAATGATTTGAGGATTTTAGATTAGAACATATGTTTTCTTGGGTCGAGGTAAGTCTCATAACTCTCTCGATTCTCGCACTAGTCATGGCCCATTCTCGAGGTCGTGATAAGTGTTGGTATCAAAGTCAAGTTTTAGAGTCAAGATAACCGTAGAACATAAGTTCTATTCTAAGCCATGCTTTTGCTTTGAATCACATGGATCAACTCACTAGTATGTGTTTTAGTCCCAATATTATAGTCTTGAATTGTGTGTGAGAAGTAGGGTTTTATTATGTGAAATCCCTCACATGGTTTGCTTAATTTTGACACACGGTCGTGTCAAATTACTCTTTAACTTATGTCAATTACTTTTGCTCATATAGCTTTTCTTTCTTCCTTGGAATGCAACTTTATTGGTTACACATAGACGTGTCTAATTTATTGCATAAATCGTGCATATTATTTATGCTTGTGTCTTTCTCTTTGTGTTAAAACACACACGGACATGTCAAATTTACTCTACAAATCATATTTGATCATTTTGCATGTGTCTTTCTTCATGTCAAAACACACACAAGCATGTTAATTTTTCAAAGCAAATTATTCTTAACCCCTTCGCCCGTGTCTCTCCTCGTGGCTAAAACACACACGAACTTGTTACTTTCTTAAATAAGCCAAGTCTATCCTACTACTCATGTGACTTCTTGAGGTAAATCATGTACGTACATGTCAATTTGTTTTCAAGCCATGCTTAATTCTTCTACTCGTGTGTCTCTTTCTTTAATTTGGTTTTTCATGTTTATTTCATTTTTTCTTTTATATATTTAGACCTCTATGTGTTTTGGGCTTAGGTTTACTCATTTTGGATTGGTTGTTTTCTTTTTGTAAACCTAAAATTTTTATCTTATTCTTAAGTATACTACCTTCTTGAAATTAACTCTTATAAATTGTGCTAAACTTCAATTATATTTCATATAGGTGATTATGGTGAGGACTAGATCGGGTGATCATAGCGGAGGTGTTGAGGTTGAGGCATCATCAAGACCTTCATGGTCTCGTGGCAAATGCGGCATTAGGGAAGAAGTAGACTCGATATGATGACACTAGTTGATGTCTTGGCTGGGTTTTATGCTATATAGCACACTATAAAAACAATGGTTGAGGGTGTTCAGTAGACCTTTCAAACTATGGTAGGATTGATGTCTACTAATCAAGGATTGGGTGAAGCGGACACTTCGTAGCTAGCACCTAATCGGTATTAGAAGGTTTGAACCCTATGTGGCGGAATTTTTAAATTGAAGCCACTAACCTATTTTGGTGATAGGGAAGATGAGGACTCGATGCGTTTCATTGATGAGATAAAGAAGAAATCGGTAGTGCTTCGATACCTTGATGTGAGAGAGGTTGAA